TAAAGCTTCTTCGACTCGTCGTTGCCATCGTTCCACCGCTTCTGGTTGAGGATGGTGTCGATGGCGACAGCAGTCTTACCAGTCTGACGGTCACCGATGATAAGCTCACGCTGACCACGGCCAATAGGAACCATGGCATCAATGGGCTTAATACCAGTCATCATGGGCTGGTTGACGGAGCGGCGGGGAAGAATACCGGGGGCCTTGAGAGCTGCACGGCGACGCTCAGTGGTCTTGATGGGACCCTTGCCATCGATGGGGTTACCGAGAGCGTCGACGACGCGGCCGAGCAACTCGGGGCCAACGGGGACATCGACAATCTGGCCGGTACGCTTAACAGTGTCGCCTTCCTTGATAAGACGATCGTTACCGAAAATGGAGACACCGACGTTGTCGGCCTCCAAGTTCAGACACATGCCACGAACACCAGAAGAGAATTCCACCATCTCTTCAGCTATACAGAGCAATGACGTTAGCATAATGTAAATGAGAGACAAGAGAACGGCGACATACCTTGGACATTCCTGAGACCCCAGACACGTGCGATACCGTCACCGACACCTGCGAAGTTTGCGTTGAGGAACGCGTCACGTAGTCAAAAGTCACAGCCTTACTCAGAACACGACCAGTCTCCTCGACATTTGCGCCCACAGCGGTACCAGCTATCCGCGACTCGAGAATAGAGGAGACCTCAGAAGCGGCTACGTGGGTCATTCCGGGATTTCAACAAATGACGACAGGAGTCAATAGATCGAGAAAAACGAAGTAAACCGGTCAGTTCGCGTTACTGACACTTGTGCAATAGAACCAGCACGTACCAGCCTTCGCTGTTGCATATGAGCGAGAGACTGCGGGAGTAACGCGGGTTGCAACCTGAAAGTTGGAAAGAGTGCTCTTAGCGTCCTGAACCATAAATTGCTGTCATAAAAACTGGTATACCCTTGGCGAAGCGGCCAGCGCAGCAGCGCGGACGGTGTTTCGGAGGGCGACTCTGTGCATGACAGTGAGGAAAAGAAAGTATAGAGGTCGCGAGCGAGGGAGGTTGCGGGCGTATGCGGAATTTCAGTTCGGAGGATTCAACCTTTTGAATTCGACTCCGCCCCAATTTCTCGGCTTCAAGCGTGCGGGCGCCAACAATACACCAATCAACCTCCGACTTCGTTCGTCGCTCAGCTCTTTCAGCTCGACATTGTCGACAATGGCGACGTTTCTTAGGCGTAAGTGAGGCATGTACTCTATAAAACGTGCTCCTTATGCATCATTCAACAGCACTGCGGCAAGTGGCAGGTCATGCGCTGCACACTCAAATAACACCTCTTTCCACGGCACCTTCTGCCCTTGCTCTCATCCGCTCCCAGCCATCTCGTTACGTTGTTGCCGCTGTAGCAGGCAGAAAATACCTTCTTGCGCCCCGCGACCTGCTCACTGTTCCTCGTTTAAAGGATGTTCAAGTCGGGGACGTTCTCTCACTCTCCGAGATCCACGAAATTGGCTCACGCGAATACACATTACGCGGCAGCCCGACCCTTCCTCCAGGGCAGGTGCAAGTGGCTGCTACTGTAGTGGAGCATACCAAGGGCAATATGGAGGTCATATTCAAGAAGAAGAGGCGAAAAGGGTACCAGAAGACAATTACACATAAGCAGACTTATACTCGTCTTCGAATTGGGGCCATTGATATTGTAGAGCAGCAGACATAGTACATCGTTTCAATTACAGCCATAAGGACAAAAAAACAACATGCATCAAAGCTATGAAATGATTTCGAGGCGAACAAGCTCGAGAGACTATATCTCTCCTTCTTCTGGGGTTTCTGCTCTTGCGGGAGCCTCGGCTTCTGCTGGTGGTGCCTCAACAGTGTCATAACGTGGACGCTGCAGAACGAAATTGTGGGACGTGAAGGGAAAACTCAATTAGAACACGTACCTTCTCTGTCCGGTCATCGTACAGTCTGTCATCATACACGGATCTCTCTCGCTTCTCTCTTGGGTCTTCCTTGTAGACCGATGCGCTCCTCTCGCGCTCTTCACGATATGGAGGAGCTTCAGGGGGATGCGAAGAGGCTTCATCCCAATCTCTCGAAGGCTCTTTCGTGCTCTTTCTTCTTTTATCATCCCTATCATAATCCCTATGGTGCCTCGAAGACCTGCTGTATGCATAGTCCCGGTCTTTCTCCCCATCCTTGCTCTTCGCGTGATCGCGGTCTTTTGTGTAGTCTCGAGACGAACGACGGGCATGAGAATCGTAGTCGTCGTGTCCTCGATGGTGACGCGAACTGCGAGATTCTCGCTCGTGATGAGAGTCCCGATCCACGTCTCGGTCTCGATGTTCCTTGCCGTGGTCACGATCTCTCTCACGATCACCATCCTTCGTAGGTTCCTTGCGCCTGCGACTCGTCGTTGAACCACCGTCTTCAGAGACTTCCTTTTCACGTTCGCGAAGACGCTCCTGAGCCAGAACCCCCACATTCAGTGTGTGCCAGGCTATATTGTAACGAGATAACCACAAAAAGTACATACCTTCTGCCTCTTCACAAACTTAGTAAATGCTGCCCGACGCCCATCCTCGTCCTCCAAGGCTTTGTATTCAGGTAGCTCTTGAATCAACGGCATAGCCTAGTGGATGATCAGCTCATATTACAGGACAAAATTGAGACCAACGTACTTCTTCATAGGAAAGGTTGATATCGAGGGGATCGGGCATTTTCTTGAGAGCATAACGCAGATCATCTTGTAGATGTCGCTGTCTTCTCTCTGTGCGACGCTTCTCGTCAGCATGTTGTTTCACGGCGTTGTCATGTATCTGATATATATATTCAGTCAAAGATACAAGCCTACTGGTCATAGAATGCTTACGGTCTGATAAACCTCATCAAGGTCTTGCGCCTGCAACTTTCGAAGAGCCTCGCTATCATCTTCTCTGAGAATTTGCGTAAATTCTTCTTTAGTAGTTTCTGGCGTAATCTTGAAAGATTTTGCAGTGGCATCGTTCCCGTTTGCTTTCTCGGTCTTCTCGTCGGTAGCGTCTTGAGACAGAGGAGGCTGCAGGTTGTCGTTATGTCGCCTAATCGCCGCTTCGGCAACAGCGACTTTGGAATCCAACTTCTGGTCAAGGTTGTCTACAAGGTCCCAGAAAAGTTCAAGTGGATTCGACCCAGGATTGCCCAGAATATCCAGATAGCGCTTATCGTCTTTGAATGAGGGGTAGACGTCTTTCCACTTGGAACGAGCCTTGATTCTGCCAGACTCGACTAAACCTCGCAGTACGTCCTGTTGCACAAAGGTATATAGTCATGAAGCTTAATAATATAAGCGCAACGCACCTTAAATGCCTCTCTTGTTTTGCGTTCTTTGCGGGTCTTTTCTACCTGCTGCCTACGCATCTGCTCTTCGAACTCTCTCTCGCGAACTCTGCTGTAGTCCTCAAACGCTAGCAAAATGTCGAGGTTAGGTAGCTTTTGCAGCTCTTCGTCGTTCCTGTACTCGTCCGATTCAAGCACTTTGCTGTGGGCAGACCTCCAACGAGTAAGCACGTCCACCTCAAGTTTCTTGAAAAGGGCTACGACTTTTGATACGCTGCGAGCACGAGCGGCGCGGCTCTCTTGCTATGGAATGGTAAGCACCTATGGTATATCATAGACTCTGCATATACGCGTACCATTTCACGCTGCTTAAGCTCGGTTACATATTCTTCAAATACAAGCTTTCGTTCGGCCTCGATCTTTGCCTGTTGCCAAATCGGGTGCTGAGCAAAGAGCCTATCCGCAGTGGCAAAAGTTGTGTAGTGGAATACGTTGGGATTGCCTTTTAGCATGTTTCTGATGGCGGGACGCAACTTCGACAACCGAACCTCCCGTTCTTCTTGTTCTTTGGCCCTGAGAGCATCAGTGAACTGGACGGAAGATCAGACTATAAGAACAACTATAGTGATATGGGTCGCACCTTTTGCCAAGCGGCCTTCTTCTCAGCAAGGGTATTGAGCGCCTTGTACAACGGATCTGTGATGATAGCCCTCATAGTCTGATCCCAAGTCCAGTTTGCGTCAACACCTGCTTTCCTCAATAAATGCGTGAATGCCTTTTCTCCTTCTTCGACTGTAGTAAATCCGTTGTGCGGAATAACAGGGTCGTCCGGTAAATTGGGTCTCACAGGCAATACACTTGAAGATGTAAAAGGTAGCCCGCCTGTATGTGGTCCTACAGTAAGGTCTGCACCGTTTTGTCCATTTGTTTGGGGCTGCGAACCGGCAGGTGAGGATGGATCACTTCCACCCAAAGGGTTAGCTGCACCTTGCAATGGGGTTGACCCCGACGAGAGATTAGGAATTCCAGTGCGACTAAGATAGTGTGAGTTTCAACCTATAAGGTATTAAATATATTTCGACTTACACGACAGCGTTAGACGTTGTGCCCTCCTTCTCAACTTTCTCGAGCAGGAGCAATAATTCGTCCGGCATGTCCCATTTTGACTCCTTGGTATCGGTCTGGAACCATGTTGGTCAACTGCACAGTCAGAAGATGATATACAATACTGACATTGTAATAATACTTCCTGCCACCAGAGAAATACTCCTTCCACTTGGTCTGGTTCAGTGCGCGCTGTTAGGAGGATGAGAACGTTGTGTAGAGATAATTATGTGCACTAGAAACGCACCTCAAAGGGAGTCTTCAGATCTGATAAAAGCATAAGTCTTTTCAAAGTACCACAACATTGAAGGACATACCATCTGGCTTCTCCCAGACACTTTCTCTCGTTCCAGTGTTGAACCAGTAGGTACGGCCCTCTGGATTACGGTGCTCGGTCTGTGCCAAATGTCTCAATAAAGTAATGGAGTGGCGTATTGCGACCTACCCAGATGTTCATCTTTGGAAACCTGCTACGGGTATGTCAGCGGGAAATGGTGGGAGTTGCAGTCCTTGACTGAGGCCAGCGGCCGTGGGGAGAAACTCGACACTCTGAGAGCGGTCATATTATATATATACTTTAGCTTAATATCAACAAAGCAACTTGGCGCAGGGGTTAGCGCGCGGGGCCCATAAAGACCGTGAGAAATTGGCCACCCCGAGGTCCCTGGATCGAAACCAGGAGTTGCTATTTTTATTTACATTGGTCCGTCGCCTTTTTTATACACTCCAGTAAGGCTCTAACCCTTTCCTTTGCCTTTACACTGATACCATTGACCCAGTTCATTCTCGACTACTATCAGCGCCGGTGGTAACACTGTGACCATCACGTGCAAATCAATTCTAAGTCCCAAAAGAAGCTATCCAGGTAGTTAGCAGTTATTTATACGAAATATAGACTATTTATAAGATTAATATGATAATATCAATCATCTCTAGTTGGCCGTAATGACTGCAGCATCGAGTTCTGTCAAGATAGGATTAGGTAGAATACAGTGGCTTGAGTATTTCTTAGCAGCCCACAGAGCTTGCTTCCAAAATTGGCTAATGCAGTTTTTGCCCTTCGTTTCCGGGGCCCAACCATTTTGTAATTGTGCGCATTGCTTATTCTGTGATTTATTATCCGATTGACTTAACGACGATTACATAATCGCTAGAATTTCGAACTGAGTATTGTACTTGAGTTTGAAGCACAACGGGGGACTTTATTCAAGATCTGCTCTCATCGAGTTTTAGAGAGCCAAGTTTATGATTTTCTGATGAGAAGACTTTTATTTTATATCTGCTCTCGGATTGTCAAACTCATTTTGTATGATATTGACCAGCCATATGTGACAAGTGTGACGGCTCAGGGATCACGTGATGTAGTCGAGAATGAACTGGGTCAATCTTAGAAAGAGTTGTAAACAGTACATAAAGAGTAAATGGTAAGTCTACAACTGATATATGGGATTTTTGATTGGGAAAGCAAAGGGAACACAGAAGAGTTTTCTCATTATATCTTCTAATTTTTGGGGGGCTTTGCGCATTGGATTCCCAAAATCTCCCTCAATTAGGAGGAGGAGGGCGGTTGCGACTCTGCAAGTGGCCTCGAGTTAGGACTGAGGTCCCTGGATCGAAACCAGGAGTTGCTATCATGTGGTTATTTTTTGTGTTCGCTGAAGGTCTATGGCAACCCTTTAGTTTATATCAAGGCTCCAACCCTTTACTTTACTTTTACACTGATGCTGTAAATCAAGAGAAAGGGTTCAATTTGTACACAGCTTATACAGAGTTAAAGGTAAGTTTACAACTAATATATGTTGCTTTTTATCTGAAGGGTGAAGGGGATACAGAATATTTTCCCGTTGTATTGCTAATGTTGTTTCCGGGTTTTACGCACTACATTAGCAAAGTATGTCTCAATAGATACTGAGGGTTAGTCAAGCTGCATCCATAAGCGCCCTAAATGGGTGCTTCTACGATCTGTAAGGCTCAGCAATGAGTACAATCCTTAAGTTGAGCGTAAGTCGCACACAAGTTATAGATGCGACGCTGCGAGCGGCTCAAGCTGTATCGCATAAACAAGCGCCCGTTTTCCCGAACCACCAACTCTCGTCAAAAACCCTCGGTTCTACTCAGGCTTTAGATTTCAGGGCCTGTAGATAACCTTCAAACTGTAAGAATCCGTTTCTTTTCCTATTATTACATCATCCGTAGCTGTACTTGTATTAGGCCGCAGTACTTGCATTAGATCGCAGTACTAGCGCAGTATCGTATTGGTCGTGCACGCAGCACCTCGCAGTTCATGTACTAGGATCGCAGTCCGCAGTCTCACATGTAGTTGTATTAGTTTGATCTGTAGTACAGTATAAATACTGGACATTCGGTACTGTAATGACTATCGCATTCGTTGCTTTCACCCTCTCTTGCATACGTTGCATTATAAGTTTTACAGGTTATGGGCCCCGCTCTCTAACCTATGACTACACCTCTTCCTTGCGATAACAAGACACACTGCTACGACGCAGACGACCTTATAGATCGATTCAAATTC